AAGGGGAGGAGGGGTTAATTGTGCACTTTAGCCATAGAGGTATCTTAGTTGAAACAGAGTTTGGGCATTTCAGGAAGAATCACTGAGTCAGAATGTACTCTCACCTGGGTGGAGCCCTAATGGTTTTGCAGAGCTGCACTGGTGTACATGAGAGCAGTATACAGCCCAATATAAATCCAATTGTTCTGTATTTGTATTCCCTTATCAACTAACTGTTTTGGAGATTTGCATGAATAAGAGATCTTTGAGTGTTTGTCAGTTTATTCCTCACCTGAAGTCATGTAACGCTTCGAATTAGTAACAGGACATGTCTACATGTGCATTTTAATAGGCAGTAGCCTATTTTCCCATCACATAAAACACCATGCAATTATACGAATGCACCATAAAATAGACTACAGCACATTAAGCATCACTTAAAGAATGTGCACTTTTGGAACTACACGTTAGGGCAACCCACTCCTGTTTAGCCGTTTGCAGCTATCTTAGAATTAATTTAGGGCATTTTCATTATACTTTGCAGCCAGTCGGTCTCTATGCTGGGCAGAGAATTGCTGGAACAGAATGTGTAAGAAAGGATAGATCCTGCTCTCAGTGAAGACAACTGAAAAGAGACCTTGAAAAACAAGCAACAGGAAGCATTTGTCGGCAAAAAAAGTTAGTGAATTAACACATCAGGGACCAAATCCTACAACTGGTAAGAATCAACCTTACATTTGTCAAAGAAACTCCCACTAACCTGAGTGAGTACTGTTTGTGGGAGGAAAGATGATGGGATCATGTTCTTAGTATTTAATGAGCAGAGAGAAGTAGCTCAGGCTCATGAAAGTTTATACTATATCTCTCTGATTTAGATTATAAAAGAGAACATCTAGCCTGCCATCTTAGTATTTATGACAATTGAAAGATTTTTGGAAATTTAGCTGCAGAAAAGAGAAGAAAAATGCAGTACACGCTTTCTAATAATACTACTGAACTGGAGATATCTGAAAATGAAATGCAGATCCGCCAAATGGAGGAAATGGAGCCAATTCTATTATTTTGTATCACTGTTTATAAGGTGGGTAAATTACACTAACATAGGAGTCACTCAGGACATACAATTTAAAGACAAGCTCTACTCCTATTTCCAATATTGTATTTTTGGTAAGTAGAACAAAAGGGTTTGATGTACAATGATGCAAATGCAGTCAGAAGTCAACTGATGCAGCCTGATGCAGAATTCAGTGTATAATTCTACTGAAGTCAATGGATTCATCTCTGCAGAACTGGTGTCAGAAGTTCATAGGTTTGTTAACATGACAGAGTTGTAAAAGATAAGTAGATATACATGAAGGCACATGAATGCAAAGGTGTGCAGAGGGGAACAGACTAACACCCAATTCCTTGGTTGTCGCATTTTGCAAATTTTGATCCTCAGATCTAACTACAAGACTCTCAGGACTCCAAAGGGAACAGAAATAGCTGAATGGAGGGATTAGCTTTCCCCACCTCCCTGCATATGTACCTCGGTTATGGTGGCACAACAGAAGTTTTGCTGTTTCTCACTGTATTCTGAGGGGTTTCAGGGAGTGCACAAAGATATGCTAGGGTTGTCTCAGGAAATACTAACTCTCCACAGGTCTGGCTTGGTCTTTCATCTAAGCACCTGAACGCATGATGAAATCATGAGCTAATCCCCACAGACCTCCTGTGTGGTAGTTAAGTATTATATTGTATTCAGATTGGTAAACTGAAACACTAAGATGTTTCCAGCCTGATTTTCAGGAGTACTGAACCCCACTCCCACTCCCACTGACTTAATCGTTCAACTCTTCTGCAAAATCGGTCCCTAAGCAACTTGCCAAGGGCATTAAACTGAGCCAACAGCACAGCCTAGACTAAAATGCCAGCACCTAGCTACTGCACCATTATAAATGCTGTAGACACCCTCTATTGCCTCAATTATGCCATACAGAACAATTCGGAAGAGCTGCCTTAAAGATATGTACTTAGTTTTCCTTCTCCAGCTGCTCATCCTGGGACTGCGGTCTCCATCAATATTGCATATTGAGAGAGATGGACCTACTGATCCATTATATTTTATGTTGTCTATTTTGCGCACTCCCAGTGAGATGGTATGGACCATAAAACTGACAACAATTATGAACCGGGGGGGCGGTTCCCAGGTCATACACAAACATTACAGGATGAAGAGCACAGGTAAAGTAGTGCCCTTGTTACTTTTTGCTAGCCCAATCAGGCAAGGTTTTGAGAGAGCCTTGGAAAGCTTCAACTTTCAAGCATATGCATAAAGCAATACAAAAATCACCAGGAAAATAAAGAAAATTACAGAAAAGCTTGCAGCCATTCAGAATGGTTTATCTTGTAAGGCTGGAGCTCGAGGTGGACAATGTACAAAATGGCCAGCTCTAAATGTCTGGTTGAAAAGGCCATTTTTATATTGTTTGGGAAAGGAAACATGATGAGGAAGTACTTCCTTGATGCAGACATGGCCTGAAAGTCCCCTAACAATGGCGTATTCTCACATAATGCGAAGTGCTGAAGCTTGGGAAATGCTTAAGCTGATAGGACCCAATTAGTTTTGGCTCAGAGGATGCCACTCCCTCACTTATTGCATGAAACTTTCAAAACATTAAGCTGCTTCTTTTTGAAGCCATCGGCTGCCAGTCTGCAGATGCATACAAGAGGTCTGAGGTCATTTCTTAAAATGAGGTTCTAACATTAAACATTTTAGAAAACCTGTATTACACAAAATGTATTATCTTTCTTTAATTTTTTTTCTCCAAAAATGTGTGTTATCTTTCATACGACTGTGTTTTGAAAAATCCCTGTTATAC